ATTGATTTCAGAGAGGAAAGGAGAGGGAGCGAGAGATAGAAATATCAAAGATGAGAGCGAATCATTAATCAGCTGCCTCCTGCATGCCTCCTACTGGGGATCAAGCCCGGAATCGAACTGTGACCTCCTGGTTCATTGGTCGCTGCTCAACCACTGAGCCACACCGGCTGGGCGGAAGTCCCACCCTTGACCCCTGAGCTCAGTGAGGGGTCGGCAGAGGGACCCTTCAGAGAGCTCATTGTCTTTCCTGCAGGTGGGCCAGTGGTGGCCTGAGGCTGGAGGATTGGCTGCTTCAGTGGCAGAACCAGGGGAGGTGGCTGCACCGGGACATCTGCTTCCCAGAGTTTGCCGGGACCAAGGATGGGGCCGACTCCCCAAGATCCAGACATGGGCCAGCAGGAAGCCAGAGCCAGCAAGGTGTCACCTGGGTCCTGCCTAAGAGAACCAGCTGCATGGGTGAGGAGACCTCATGTGAGAGGTGGCCCACCAGGGCTTAGGGGAGGACTGCAAGGGACCTCCTGGAATAGAGGGTTTCTTCATTTAACACTGAGGCCTTGGGTAACTGCTAGAAAACTGCACCCGGTTCAGCAGGGTTTTCCTCCCTGTGACCTCTGCATGCCCATGAGCTGCCCCTGCCTGTTACACCCGGGTTCTGCAAGGGAGCAGCGAAGGCGACAGAAACACCAGCTGGAATAGCAGGTTATAGGAACTTTGGGGGAGAGGTGTCCGGAGTGGGAAACCAGAGAAGTACAGTTGCTCCTAGGGAGAGGAAGAGATGGAGAGCGCTAAGCATCTGCCAGCCCCACAGAGCCTGCGGCTGCACCCGTGTGACACCAGCTCAAATAGGAGCTGTCTTAGCACCTTAGCTCCTCTGCCCTGACCTCCAAACCAGCAGCTCGGGGAGGAGGTGTGGGAGAACCTGTTCCCTCCTTTCCCAGGGCAGACTGACAGCTGGAGATGCCGCCTGGGGAAGGGAGATTTTGATGCTGGCTAAACTCTTGTGCCTTTTTAAAAAAAATATATTTTTATTGATTTCAGAGAGGGAAGGAGAGGGAGATAGAAACATCAATGATGAGAGCGAATCATTGATTGGCTGCCTCCTGCATGCTCCCTACTGGGGATGGAGCATGCAACCCAGGCATGTGCCCTGACTGGGAATGGAACTGTGACCTCCTGGTTCATAGGTCGACCTCACTGAGCCACGCCGGCTGAGCTCAGTGTGACTGATTAATGTATAGAACTGTACATTTAACTGCTGAATGGAGACTAGGCCCCCAGGACTGTGTGTGACCCAAGAGGGAGCAGAAAATCATGAGTCTGCTGGATTTCTATCCAGAGTGGGGAACAAGTCGCACCTTGAGTAGATGTTAAAGGAATAGTGGAAGGAAATATTTAGTTGCGTTTGATTGCCTTTAGAGCTGTGCTTGTTCAAAACACTTTGGAAAAAGACCCTCAGCCCGGGTGGACGGTGCAAAGCATGAGGGCTCTCAGCAGTGCTCTGCGTGGCTGAGGCTGCCCTCCTGCCCCAGCCCTCTGCACATGAACAGCTATCTGAGTCCCTTGGTGGAACCGCAGGACTCCAAGCCCCATAGTAAGAAGTAACTCAGGTCAACATGTGACCTCTCTGGGTGACACTTGAGCAGAAGTGGCAGGACAGCCTGGGCAGGTCTATATTTGGGCTTTCACTCACAGCGGGCCTGTTGCTATTTGCAGCCGGAGCCAGCTGGTGTTTCTGTCGCCTTCGCTGCCCCCTTGCAGAACCCGGGTGTAACAGGCAGGGGCAGCTCACGGGCACGCAGAGGTCACCGGGAGGAAAACCCTGCTGTACCCGGGTGCAGTTTTCTAGCAGTTACCCACGGCCTCAGTGTTAAATGAAGAGCTCATGGACCCTTAAATTAACAGGCAAGTTTTGTAGTGATATTCTAACGCTAGTTATATTATTGAAACCCACTAATTTAAGGCCACAATGTTAATGCAATGTATTTCCTTTATTGTGGGAAGAGAGAGTGTTGGGTATTGCAGATGTGTAAATTACAATAAGGGGTGAACGCTTTCTGTGCCTTCTGGTGGCAGGGATCCGCCTTCACTGAACGTGGGGTGGGGACAGGACGTGACGCTCTGATGCTGGGAACTCTTGCCAGGTGTCTTGAGGGTATTTTTAGTGCAGGGGTCCGCTTGCTAGAACAGTTTGGAACCCTACGTGTACATGCTGACAAAGCGCAATTCCATGCTCTGGTGCAAATACTGACAAAAGCATTGTCATCATGTCTCACTGTTATGCATGCCCCCTGCTCCCATGGGAAGATGTTGGGTTTGGGCTGCGCCTGTAAAGCTGATTTGAACCATTTTGTGTCACAGTACAGCCAGCACTCTCCAGCAGGTTTCTGTAGCTGTGGTTCGGGAATTGCTCGGGGCTGCAGGGCTGAGTTCTGAAAAGATAGCAAAACTGTTTGTGCCCTTATGGGCTCACTTCTGGGGAGAGAATTCACAGCTTTCAGTAGATTCTCAGAGGCATCCATGACCCATAAAAAGATTTTAAAAAAACATTTTTGGGGAGGACTTTTCTAATTAAAGCACGGGGACACACCTCCCATAGAAGACTTGCAAAAGTCCTTTTATGTTTAACTGTAGCTTATGACATAGAGTAGAAGCTATTTAGCCAATATAGTCATTATAGACTGTGATTAATTACTTCATTTCTCTAAGCCTCAGTATCATCATTTGTAAAATGTCAATTTATTATTAATGTTCCTTTTTCCCCAAAATTCTGAATATTTAGCTACGAAGCTATTTGGATATAAAAGTTATGGCTAGGGGGAGAAAGTGCTAAACTGTATCTTAAAAATTATTTTTTGCTTTTGTTATTTTCCTCCAAAACCTATTTCATATATGTCATGTTGGAGTGGTTTAATAATATTAGTTTGTTTTTTTTAAACCATTGGGTTTACCACAGTATTTTAAAAAGGGGCCTTAGGAGCTGGATTGTGATAATGGTTGCATAACTTGGGGGTATTTACTAAAAGATACTGAACTGTGCACTTAAAACAGGTAAATTTTATGGCTTGTAAATTATATTTCAATAAAGTCAATTTAAAAAAAATATCAGGGAATAAGATAAGCAGCTCACATAATTCCTAGTTTTATGTAGGAATATGTTGTTAAAATATTTGTGCAGGTTAGTTACCATAATACAACAAGTATGGTGGGTGGAAATTTAGGCCACTATCTGCACATCAGCTGTACCTGTTTGTGACATTCAGTTAAATGGGAAAAAGCCTGCTTCTCTAAACAAAAATGATCATTCTTTCTGTGTGCATGGATCAGTGGTCTTCAAACATTTTTTACTTGTGCACACCCTTACGACAGGTACATTATTCAAAAGTCCTCCAGAAATAAAAACATTTTTTGCTTGTGTACACCCTTCTTTACAGATGGTTCAAAGTAAACCCACAACTGAGCTGTTCAGAAGATTTTTAAAAATTGTGAATGAGGTGAGCCCAATCTGATGACCACTTCCTGCATTGATCCTCTCAGAAACGAGTGTTTTCCTTCTTGCTGTGTTCTAGGACCCAGGGTATCCACTGCTCACGGTCCAGGAAGGATCCTTGTCGTGCAGAGGTGCTGCCCAGGGCTGCCAGGGCAACGGTGGAGGAAGCCAGGGAGGGGCCAGAAGGGGACAGGTCTTCTGCCCCAGGGACTTCCGCTAGTATCCCCTAGGTCCCTATGACTCTGGAGACAGACTGTAGATCTTCCCGGAAGAACACAGTCGGCTGAGAAGTCATCTGAGCTGAAATGACCAGTGAGCCAAGAGACCTCGAAGAGGAAGTGGATGAACTTGTCCATTTATATGGACTCGAAGATGATGATGAATTAGGGGACGAGTTTGTTAACGAAAACATGCCCAGGATAGAGGTTTCGGAATATCCTGCTTACATGGTGGCGGGGAGAGAACCAGCCGTGGAGCAGAGAGACTGGAGACTTAGTGGAGAGGCAGCAGAGGCTGAAGACCTGAGCTTCGGAGGGTGGGGCTCTGAGAGCCAATGCCAGGACCTGCGGGAGGCCTACAGGTACACACACGGCCGGGCCAGCGAGGAGTACGAGTGCTATGTCATCCCAGAGGAGGAGGACGAGGAAGAAGCTCCTGATGTCTTCTGTGTCACTTGCAAAACTCCAATAAGAGCGTTGGAGAAGGTTCTGGATGAACACAAAGAGCACGAGGTGACCCCCCTCAGTAAAGCCCTGGAAAGCGCCAAGGTAAGCAGCTCTCGCTAGTTCTTCTTTCTCTTTCCATTGCATCTGCTCAAGTAATCAGGCCGGGAGTAACTCTCACGTGCCTTCCGCAGAAGGGGAGGAAGGATGTAGCATTGACGTCTTGCGATCCTCTGTTTGATAGGATGAAATTCACAAAAACATGTACAGGCTGGAAAAGCAGATTATTGAGATGGAAAACTTTGCCAATCACCTAGAGGAGGTTTTCATCACGGTGGAGGTAAGAGCCCGCAGATGAGCCCGTCAGACACATGCTGCTTCGTCCAGCACCATCCGGGGCAGCAGCCGTGTCCAGTATGAGGTGGAGAATTTGTGTTCTTAGAGCACGTGGTGTCACTTTTGCCCTGTCCCCTGCCCTCCTCCAACCCCCTGGGCATATACCTCATGGAACTGATTAACCTGGCAGCATCCCCACAGAACAATAAGCTCTTGGTGAGGAGGCTGTGTCTTCTGCCTCTTTATTTCCAGTTTGACTACAAGGCGGGACTCTTGCATGCGCCAACCTTGACAAGGTTTTGCAGACCCCCATCCTGTCATTGATGAGTGTTCCTTTTCTCAGCTGGTACCCATTTCTCATAAGATCAGTAAGTTTCCGTGTCTGTCCCCAAACACTCACACAGCCCTGGGTGTGCCGCAGGTACGCAGTATAGATGTCAGCTGTGGTGCCGTCCTCATGAGTAGACCAGGACTGAGGACCTGGGGCTTCCCTCTTCCCCTCCCTTCATGTGGATGCTCTACTTCGCTAATGCACCTCAGGCTGAACCAACAGGAGCACCTTGTATGAGTTAACTAAGCCCCAGGTCCCTTTCTTTGAAGTTAGACCCTCTTCACCCCTAATCTTGAAAGGGAGGAGAGCTATGGCACTAACGCCCTAGGGAAGGTACAGAGAAGGGCAAGTCCTTCCCCTATAAGCACAGGCTGGTGGTGGGAAGGGTAAGAGTCCAATAGGAGGGACAAAACTCCCTGCACTCTGAACGGCCAGCTCACTCTCAGATCAGCGTATCTGCACCTCAGTGGACTCAGCTCTTCCCTTTACATTCAGCACCGGGGAGGCCTCTACTGCTTTTCCCTCTCTTCTGCCATTCGGAGCAAGTCTTATACACATAGTAGGTGCTCAATAAACAACCCCTGAATGATTGATCCTCTTCTTTGGAAATGTTAGCTGATGAGAATGGCATCAGTCAGAAGCCGCAGATCTCTCCTGGGGACGAGGGGTTGGTATGCTCTGATCATTTCTCACCCATTGTGCTCCAGGATAAGTACTGTCATGACCCTCCCTCGCCTTCCTGCTTTTCCTCATCTGTTAGTCAGCACCAGGTGGCCACGGCCCTTATTACCCTTTCCCTTCAAGCTTCTCTTGTTGATATGAAGATCTGTGGTCCTGGTATTTGTATAATCCACTCACCAAAGAGTGGAGGTGAGGGTCCTGAGATGTCGAGAGCTCAGGTGGGAATCCCCCAGGGCAAACATCTCCTTGCTGAGGTCCAAGGTTCCAGTGGCAGGTTGACTCAGCACTGATGATCAATCGTCTTGGTTGGTTGTCATGGTGATGGGAGGTGGGGAAAACGTGGGTGGTTTGAGAGTGAGGAGGAGGATGGCAAAATGCTGCAGTAGAAAAAGCAGTGTTTTTGTTAGGATTATCCCTGGGGTTCTAGCTGGAGACTCCTGGTCCCAGCTCCCCCCGCATCCACCCCAGCATCCTGGCAAGAGATAAGATGACGGGGTGGGAACATCTCTAGGTAGCCCTAACCGGTTTGGCTCAGTGGATAGAGCATCGGCCTGCGGACTGAAGGGTCCCAGGTTCGATTCCAATCAAGGGCATGTACCTTGGTTGCAGGCTCATCCCCAGTAGGGGGTGTGCAGGAGGCAGCAGATCGATGTTTCTCTCTCATCGATGTTTCTAACTCTCTATCCCTCTCCCTTCCTCTCTGTAAAAAAAAATCAATAAAATATATTTTAAAAAAATAAATAAAACATCTCTGGGTAGATACGTGTTTATGCCCCAAATGACTAGCTGACACACCTCATGCACTGAAATGATGACTGAGGTCCACTGTCCTGCAGGAGAATTTTGGAAGACAAGAACAGAACTTTGAGTCCCACTACAACGAGATCTTGGAAACACTTGCTCAGAAATACGAAGAGAAAATACAAGCTCTAGTGGAGAAAAAGAAGGAGAAGCTGGAGGCCTTGTATGGACAACTGGTCAGCTGTGGAGAAAACCTGGACACCTGTAAGGAGCTCATGGAAACGGTAGAGGAGATCTGCCATGAGGAGAAGGTGGACTTCATAAAGGTCAGTCGGAAGCGAGAGGAAATAATGCGCTGACGTGACAGTTACGGCGGGAGCGGGTTAGGTGGCCCCTCTCTGCCGGGAGGGGTTGGAATCGACGTTTACGGTCAGCACCCGTTTGATTCTCCAGGCTGTTCATGGCAGGGGGTTGTCACCCGCCAGTGGCCAGGTGGGCTCACACGCAGCTGTCCCCTTCCCTCCACCATGGCTCAGGTGACACAGGGCCCCTGTTCCCCTGTCCTGGCTGCCTGGAGGTCTGCCCATCTGTCCCCCCATTTCCTCTTCCTTGGGCTGAGCCAGAACAGTGCTCTGAGTTTCCTGGCCATCTCTTGGAGCTCTGGGAAGAAGGCTGTCTAGTTTTAAAAAGTCACCTCCAGCCCCAGCTAGTTTGGCTCAGTGGGTAGAGTGTTGGCCTGCGGACCGGATACGATTCCGATTCCGGTCAAGGGCACGTACCTTGGTTGCAGGCTCCTCCCCAGCCCAGGCCCTGGTCAGGCGTGCAGGAGGCAACCAATCGATGAGTTTCTCTCAGATGGATATTTCTCTGTCTTCCTCTCTCTTCCACACACTCTAAATGATCAATGGAAAAATGTCCTCGGGTGAGGATTAACAAAAAATGTTGTGAAGCTATGTAAAATCTATGTGTACAGCATTATTCATATTTGTTAATTAAAGTTTAACATTAAAAAAATCAGTGGAGTCCTAACAGGTTTGGCTCAGTGGATAGAGCGTAGGCCTTCGGACTGAAGGGTCCCAGGTTCGATTCCAGTCAAGGGCATGTACCTTGGTTGCGGGCACATCCCCAGTTGGGAGGTGTGCAGGAGGCAGCTGATTGATGTTTCTCTCTCATCGATGTTTCTAACTCTATCCTTCTCCCTTCCTCTCTGTAAAAAATCAATAAAATATATTTTTTTAAGAAGTCAATGGAAAAATATCCTCAGGTAAGGATTAACAAAACAAAACAAAGAAATAAAAAAGTCACCTCCACTGTCCCGGTCACAAGTACAGCAATTATAAATCTTACCTCATAAACTCAGATGTGCCAAAAAAAAAAAAAGATCCATTTCTTAATTTCCTTGAAATCTAATTAAATCTGATGCCACGCCCCCATGCAGCTGGGCTGTGCGAATTTCCTCAGTCAGAGTCGGTCCCCTTCCTGACAGTTGTGTCTGGGATGTGGGGGAGGGGCCTTGGGCCTCTAGAGCTTCCTGTTGGTCACAAGTGACCTCCACGCTGACTAAGCCCATCGTGGTCCCTCAAAGCCCAGCAGCGCCTCCTTCCAGCCGTGCTTGGGGCGAGGGCCCTGTGACTGGAGCTGGAAAGCTGGTTGGGAGGCACCTCTAGATCCCTCAGCGCTCAGACCTGAACCAGCGGCCCCTCGCCCCACAGTCCCACTGCATCTCGAGACAATCCAGAAGGTGGAGAGAGA